ATCCTCTGAGCCTGAAACAAAATTAATAAGCCGATAATTCTGCATTGGAATTCAAATTAAAATAGATTATTATCAAAAGTAAATATAACGCTGTTAGCGTTCGTCCTGTGACGAACACTAGCTATATATATATATTCTCTAGGTTTATTCCTTTTTTATTCTTATATGTATATATAATGAACTGAAACATATATATCGAATATAGAAAAAAAGAAAAGAAAAAGATGAAAGAGAGAGAGACTAGATATCGATGAGAAAGAAATATATATATAAATATAACAAGTGTAAGGTCATATCAGTGGAGGAGCTGTAATCCAGCGACATCCACTGTAACATACTCCCCATTGGAAGAAAAAATGTGATCTATCAACATTTTCCAAACATAGGCGAAACAAAAGAACGGAAAAAAAAAACGATAGAGAGAAAAAAACAAATAATAATAATAATAATAGATGAGAAACAAATAACGAAGATGATGGTGTATCTCACCAGAAATAACTATCCAAATGAAAAAATATGAGAAATCAACGCAACAAAAAGTTAGAAAACAATTTTCATCAAAGAAGTAAATAAACATATATGATGTTTTTATATATATCACGTGGATTTAAATGACAATGTAAGAATGGATCAATGTTCTAACGATTTTTTTTTTTTTTTTTTTTTTTATTAGTTTTTTCGTTTTTTATTATTATTAGAAGTGATAGTGATTCAAATGACTTCGATGATGATGAGATGATGATCTAGATTTATATTTATCATTTCGAAATTGTTCATAATGTTGTTTTGTAAATAAATCGGCAACTATATTTTCATATATTGATAATTTGGTTATTTCTTTCAATCCAATAATTAATGCCTTTTTATTTGTACGTGATGAAAATGAAACAGCTGTAACTGGTATATTATGTTGTTTTAAAATTTTTTTTATTTGTTTAGTAGTAAAACGTTTATCAATATCTTCTCTAGTAATTTGAAAACGAAAATATCTTTTTCTTTGTTTTAACGTGCATGTTTTGTTATGAAGTTTTTTACGTTCTTCAGCTGATAGTTCTTTTTTATATTTTGGTTTAGTTGATGTATTCGTCGTAGTTGGAAATTGTGATGGAGTTGATGAATGATTATCTAATATTACTGTAGGTGTTTCAATAAGATAAACGGTTCGACTTGTTGATGGTATATCATATTCATTAGGTACAATTAAATCATCATTAGATGAAATTGGAAGTAATTGAAATGAATAATTTGAAATATTTTTATTTGATTTATGACTTGATAAAGATGTTACTGATTGTTCATGATGAAAAAAATTTAATTCTAAAATAAGTTGATATATTGAAAGGCAATCGTTTGCCGCATAATGAATCATTCGTTCTCGATGTTTAATTTCTGAATCATTTAAATGTTTCAATTGTGAATCAAGTCCAATATCAAATTGTGATATAGTAAATCTTTTATCTAAATATAAATGTAATTTGTGAGCCACAGCGTTCTGTAAAGACCAAGGATCTTGTGGGTTTATACCCAAACATGATTCACAGTTACATTGTGAATCTTCAGTTGATCCATAAGATGAAATTTTATGTGGATAATTTCGTTGCCAATATTTTTTAAATTCATCCTGACAATTAATATTGTTTGATAAACGTATTTGCTCATTCGAAAATAATCCAAATTTTATAAACTTAGTTAATTCTTTAATTTCTCCCCAAATGTAAATGATTTTATCAAATTGAAATAAGGTATGAAAAAATAATTTAATTAAATCAAATGTTGTATCATGTTCACGTGGTAAATGGCAAACTTCCACAAAAATTACGTACGAATATGAAGTTGGTAATATTAATTGGAGTTGGATAAGTGCTGGTTCATTTGGTTGATGAGGAATAGTAATAGATTCTGTATCTAAAATAATCTTTTTTGAACATTGTACCGATTCAATTAAATGAAGCAATGTTAATTCATGAGTTGCATAATTAATAAAAAATTGTGCATATGGTAAAGGTTGAAATGGTGGATATTTGGAAGCAAGCTCATGTTCATGTAATTTTTTTTTAAGGAGTTTTTTAAGATTATTTTGTTGTTTAGTTGGTAAATCACGTGGAATGTTTTCGAGTTGTTGTTTTGTTTTTCGATATTCGTTTTCTGATAACATTTCTACAAGAAAAAAATAGATGACCATAGATATCGATTCTTCAAATAGAGAATCTATAATTAGTAAAAGATTTGATTTATTTGGACAAAGAATCTTTGAAGTTTATATAAACCATAAAAAGTCCGAATGAAAGTGTAAAACTATTCATCATTCATTTGTTCATATGTCAATAGTTAATATTACGAAATAATTATTTCTTTTCGATTCTCATGGATCCAGTGAGAATCTAGTAAGAATAAATGAATATTGAAAAAATACCCAATTTTATATTTCGTATAATAGAATAATAAAATATAAAATAAAATGCACCAGATTAAATATAATAGCCCTTCACAACCAGTGAGTGAGGGAAACTCACGCTCCCCGATCATGCTATGCTAAATTAAATCTAATTAGATTAATCTATCAATAAATAATTATTCCATTTAGTTTGACATATTGATATTACGGTTCTCTTTGTTAGAGATCCTGTAATTAATACATTCGTTCAAATATTGGTAGTAACACGTCGGTTGTAACTTGACGATATAATGTTGGTTTTTTGACGTGTTGAACAATGAATGTTTTGGGTGTAATGATTTGAATGATTCTAAATGGTCCTTCATAACGAATATCAAATTTGTGACGTATGTTGAGTGTTTTCACGAGGACAAGATCACCAATTTGATAATATGGATCAGAACGATTTATATCATAACGTTGTTTGTATCGTTCTTGATTTTTAATAATATTAAATTTCGCTTGTTCATTTAATTTTGATAAAAATTGTTGAAGTTTTTTCACGTGTTCATCATCATATTGAATTGTAACATTATCTCCTTGATAATCAAATGGTAATATTGGTGCTCGACCGTACATCATTTCGAATGGGATTTGTTTGGTCGAGGAATGGATCGACGTATTGTAATTGAATGTTACAAATGGTAATTGGTCATCCCAATCTGTTTTCTGTATGTTGGATAAAGCTGCAATTTTTGCATCCATTGTTGAATTGTATCTTTCAACTTGACCATTCGATTGAGGATGATATGGTGTTGAATATAAATGCGTTGATCCAATTTGTTTTATTAATTCATTCATAATTGTTGATGTAAAATGAGTGCCATTGTCGGTTAAGATACATCGAGGTGTACCAAATTTTGAAATAACATCTTCTTTTAGAAATTTAACAGCTGTTTGTGCAGTATTATCACGTACTGCTTTTGTTACCACAAATTTTGATAAAATATCCGTAAGACATATAATATATTTGTTGCCACGACGAGATGTTGGATTAATAGGACCATGAAAATCCATAGCTACTAATTGCCATACACCTTCTGGAGGTTTAATTGGTCGTAATTTGCCAGGAGGTTTTTTTCGACGAGGATTATGTTGAGCACATAAAATACATGATTTCACATAATTATCAATGTCTTTGTACATTGAAGGCCAAAAATAACGTTGTTTAATTTTATATATTGTTTTATCTCTTCCGAAATGAGCACCATTGGCTGCAGTATCGTGGTAAATTTGTAAAATTGTTTTTCGAAGATCACCTTGTGGTACATAGGGAACTGATGGTTTTGATCGACGCATCAAGAGATTATCCTTGATCATATAAGTTTTATATTTCTTGATATTGTTCAGAATATTTTTTGCATAATTATCATTTTGTTGAGCTTGAATTAATTCTTCAATGGAGAATGGAATTATTCGATTCTCTTTCATTGAATTATTCAATGTTTGATTAGAGGATGAAGAGGTTAGAGAATCTGGTGCTAATTTTGTGCCATCATTCGGATCATTTAAAGTTTGATTTCGTAATTTCATCGCACGAGTTTGAACAGCTGCGACGATAGATGAATGATTTTTAATATCTGAAAAAATCGGTTTGTGTAGATTTCGAAATAAGAAGTGAAACTTCATCAGGATCTTCTTCGGCATCATCAACTGGAGACCTTGATAAATAATCAGGCATTGAATTTGTTAAACCAGGAATGTATTTCACCTTGAAGTCATATTCTAAAATTTTTAATCTCCATCTTTCACACCGTTTGTTAATTTGTGCTTTTTGATTTAATTGTGTTAGTGCTTTATGATCAGTTTCCCAAATAAATTTGATTCCGCTTAAATAATTATGCCATTTATCTAATGCACATATAAATGCATAGCATTCTTGTTCCATTGGAGACCA